AAAAAAAAAACATAGTGACCATAAAATTCATGTTTACTATTTTAAATTGCACGCGAACTTTAGGAACACCCTGTGTAAGTAGTGTTCAGTACTGTCCAGTTTCTGGCATACACTTGGGGGTCTCTCCTGGATGGAAAGTGACTGAATAGGCTTTATGTAAATGAGTGGGACAGATGAATGTCAGTATCAGACTTATCTTCAGGTCACTGAGCGTGCAGGCTGGCTGGAGACAACCTCTCCTCCTCCTCCCCCCCCCCAAAAAAGAGGACTTTACAACTTGAATTGGAGGTATAATTTAGTGCCAGTTGCCTTCAGGCAGAGCTGCCTTTCCCTGTTTCCCCCCTCCCCTGTCTGTCTATTGTGGAGATTGTAAATTAGTTCAGTATCTGTTTGGCTTGTCTGTGAGCCTCTATATCAGTTTTTTCCAATCTTTTTTTATCTCAATGCACACTTGAACCTAGAGTTAAACTTCCATGGCACACTTAAATTATGTTGATCAAAAAAAGAGTAAAATAGGCTTGGTGCCCATAGCTCAATGATTAAAGTGCCAGCCATGTACACCAGGGCTGGCAGGTTCAAGCCAGGCTGGGTCTGCTAAACAACAATGACAACTGCAATAATAAAAAAAAAATAGTCAGGCATGTGGTGGGTGCCTGTAGTCCCAGTTACTGGAGAGGTTGAGGCAAGAGAATCACTTAAGCCCAAGAGTTTGAGGTTGCTGTGAGCTGTCATGCTCTGGCATTCTACCAAGAATGACATAGTGAGACTCTGTCTCCAAAAATAAATAAATAAATAAAATAAATAGCATTCTTTTTCTATCCTCTGAGATTATTATGAATTATTCGTTTAAAGGATGTATCTTTTCTTTCATTTTAAGTGATGTAGAAGAAGAGTGATGAATTTAGTCCAAGTCATTATTATTTTCTATTAGGTAGGTGACTATTTTTGTTTTATTTGTTTGAGAGAGACACTGTCACTCAGGCTAGAATGCAGTGGCCAAATCATAGCCCACTGCAATTTCAAACTCCTCTTGCCTCAATATTATTATTGAGGCCAATATTATTTTCCTATATTTATTATCAACTCATACTTTTTCTTTTTTTTTTTTTTTTTTTT